CAAATATACTTGTTATAAGTATATGCATAGTTGGTACCATCATAAAATAGATTTATTACAAAAACTGACGATGATACAGCTCGTATTATTAATAAAGCAATTAAAAATTATCTCAATTCAATATCTTTCCATAAATAACTGTTTTATATTTTTATTTTACAATGAATTAATTAAAATTTATTGACATGGTCGAACCGTTTTTGAAAATGTTGCTCAGCAGGGAACATGTTAATAAAAAATTCACCCTCTACAAAAATTTGGATAAGATTGCAGTTATGAAAGAATTTTTTTATTCTGCTCTCAATAGTAAACAGAAAATAACTTGTCAGTTTTGATTAACACTTGAAATCTAAAAAGTTTGCTGAAGCACAGCTAAATGTGCAATAATCATAAAAATCAGCTTAGCTTGTTTTCACAATTACACGTTTCAACATCCATATCATGCATCACGAAGAGAATAAAGTTCCCTTGTGGGCCTAAGAGCTTGAAGCATTGGATGCCACAGTGTACGCATATGAAACAAATAACATAAATGACACGCCAAAACAAATTACATAATGCCACTGTCGTAACAAAGGAAAAAACATAAGCATAACCATGAAAGGGTTTTAATGATCATATTAACATCAGTGTTATTATGGAAAACTGACAATGAACAGATTCAAGCTTTAGTGCTTCAATTTTTAAAATACATCAGATTTTTCCTGAACATCAATGCTATCAGAAACACGGACCAAGGAAATAATCATGTGGTCAAAAAATTAACATAACATACAGACTAAATCATGAAAATTGGATATTAATTTTCTAAGCAACCACTCCACTTTTATACACTCACTCCCAAAAGTTAAGCACGGAGAGGAAAATGCTAATTTCTGGAAGCCAATCAGAATTGAAGGGGATGCAATTCGCAGCAGAGGTAGACGGAAGTATGCAAATGTGTTAGATAACAGCCAATGCGCTTTCATGTCAAGAAATATGCAAAAAAAAAAAAAAAGTCTTATAAGAAGCTACCTTTATGAATGGTTACAGAAGTAGGGTTTTAGTTCATGATCATATTAACATCAGTGTAGTGATGGAAGACTGACAGTCAACAGATTGAAATTGAATTTTTAAAATACATCAGATTCTTCCTGAACATCAGTGCAATCAGAAACACGGACCAGGCAAATAATCATCATGTGGTCAAAAAATTAACATAACATACAGACTAAATAATGAAAATTGGATATTAATCTTCTAAGCAACCACTCCATTTTTATACACTCACTCCCAAAAGTTAAGCACAGAGAAGAAAATGCTAATTTCTGGAAGCCAATCAGAATTGAAGAGGATGCACTTCGCGTCAGAGGTAGATGGAAGATGCAAATGTGTTAGGTAACAGCCAATCGCACTTTCATGTCAAGAAACATTCAAAAAAAAAAAGTTCTTATAAGAAGCTAGCTTTATGAATGTTTACAGAAGTAGGGTTTTAATTCATGATCATATTAACATCAGTGTAATGATGGAAGACTGACATTCAACAGACTGAAATTGAATTTTTAAAATACATCAGATTCTTCCTGAACATCAGTGCAATCAGAAACACGGACCAGGCAAATAATCATCATGTGGTCAAAAAATTAACATAACATACAGACTAAATAATGAAAATTGGATATTAATCTTCTAAGCAACCACTCCATTTTTATACACTCACTCCCAAAAGTTAAGCACAGAGAAGAAAATGCTAATTTCTGGAAGCCAATCAGAATTGAAGAGGATGCACTTCGCTGTCAGAGGTAGATGGAAGATGCAAATGTGTTAGGTAACACCCAACCGCACTTTCATGTCAAGAAACATTCAAAAAAAAAAGTTCTTATAAGAAGCTAGCTTTATGAATGTTTACAGAAGTAGGGTTTTAATTCATGATCATATTAACATCAGTGTAATGATGGAAGACTGACATTCAACAGACTGAAATTGAATTTTTAAAATACATCAGATTCTTCCTGAACATCAGTGCAATCAGAAACACGGACCAGGCAACTAATCATCATGCGGTCAAAAAATTAACATAACATACGACTAAATCATGAAAATTGGATATTAATCTTCTAAACAGCCATTCCATTTATGTATACATATGTATAATAGTATACAAGCTTGTTTTCATCGTTTCACGTTTCAATATCCATTTCAGGCAAGACAAAGAAAATTAAGTTCCCTTGTGGGCCTACCTTGAAGCATTAGGTGTCACTGTGTATGCATATAAAATAAATAACATAAAAGACATGCCAAAACAGATTGCATAATGCCACGGTCATAACAAAGGAAAAAACATAAGCATAACTATGAAAGGGTTTTAATGATCATAGTAACATCAGTGTAATGATGGAAAACTGACAGTCAACAGATTCAAATTCAATTTTTAAAATACATCAGATTCTTCCTGAACATCAGTGCAATCAGAAACACGGACCAGGCAACTGATCATCATGTGAACAAAAAATTAACATAACATACAGACTAAATCATGAAAATTGGATATTAATCTTCTAAGCAACCACTCCATTTTTATACACTCACTCCCAAAAATTAAGCACAGAGGGGAAAACGCTAATTTCTAGAAGCCAATCAGAATTGAAGTCACTGCAGAGGTAGACGAAGTATGCAAATGTGTTATGTAACAGCCAATCGTGCTTTCATGTCAAGAAATATGCAAAAGTCTTGTAAGAAGCTATCTTTATGAATGGTTACAGAAATAGGGTTTTAATTCATGATCATATTAACATCAGTGTAATGATGGAAGACTGACATTCAACAGATTGAAATTGAATTTTTAAAATACATGAGATTCTTCTTGAACATCAGTGCAATCAGAAACACAGACCAGGCAAATAATCATCATGTGATCAAAAAATTAACATACCATACAAACTAAATGATGAAAATTGGATAATTGAATTTTTAAAATACATGAGATTCTTCTTGAACATCAGTGCAATAAGAAACACAGACCAGGCAAATAATCATCATGTGGTTCAAAACATTAACATACCATAGAAACTAAATGATGAAAATTGGATATTAATCTTCTAAGCAACCACTCCATTTATACATATATATGTATATACATACAGAAACAGTAAACAAGCTTGTTTTCATCATTTCACGTTTCAATATCCATTTCATGCACGATAAAGAGAAAAGTTCCCTTGTGGGCTAAGAGCTTGAAGCACTGGATGTCACTGTGTACACATATCAAACAAATAACATAAAATACATGCCAAAACAGATTACAAATTGCCTCTGTCATAACAAAGTGAAAACATAAGCATAACTATGAAAGGGTCTTAATTCATGATCATATTAACATCAGTGTAATGATGGAAAACTGACAGTCAACAGATTCAAATTCAGTTTTTAAAATACATCAGATTCTTCCTGAACATCAGTGCAATCAGAAACACGGAGCAAACAAATAATCATCTTGTGATCAAAAGATCAAAAAATTAACATAAATCATGAAAATTGAATATTAATCTTCCAAGCAGTCACTCCATTTATATGTATATACATACAAAAACATTTGTCTTAATATCTAAATACACAGACAAGCATCCAGAAATGAGTTCAAATATATACATTGGAATGAAAGAAGTCGAGGTACAAAATGAAATAATCATTTTGGGATTATAATCAAGGAAACACCACTTAATGCAAGATCTTTTAGGCGAGTTTTAGAGATTTGGGTCAGATAAAATCTGTTAAGTTTTTACAGCAACTAAATAAATGATAAGAATTTTAATTAGGCACTCAAAGACAGCAAGATATCATGTTGATTGTTCTCCCCCCAATACTTTTTCCTTTAAAGAAAACCTGAAAAACCAAGATCAAGTTGCAAGACGTTTTAATGTCGTCTAATCAGCCTCAGAGATCTTGGTGGAAAATAATCAGAATTCATTCACAATTTATTTTTCATCACAGGCTTCTAAGGTATACACTGGTAAATATTTTTTATCACCAGTGCTATCTGCTATACCAATTTACTCTTACATTTAACAACAATTTGATATAAATATATTTATCTTCCAGATTTTTTGTGATAACACAGAGGCTAGTAGTTGAAAGCTGGAATGAGAAAATCTTTTACCAAAACAACTGACCTTACATAACCAAATTAAAAAGGCAAAAATGAGAATTAAAAATTATACAAAAATTTACAATTTTAATTAAAACCTCTTTATTTTATGGGGAATTTAAATGAATAGAATATATAAATATTTACACATTAAGCAAAATAAAACTAAAAACAAACAGGTTAAAGAAATTGATTAATGACATTATCTAATCTTATTTGACACACTGTTAAATATTTTTTTAATTTTAAGATTATTAATTATCCCAATATTTCATACTATTTTAATTAGCAGAAAAATAATGATTTTTATTGTAGTCTTTTGAATTTTATTCAGCCTCAGAGATCTTGGTGGAAAATAATCAGAATTCATTCACAATTTATTTTTCATCACTGGCTTCTAAGATATACTGGCAAACCTTATTTTTTATCACCAGTATCACAATCTGCTATACTAATTTACTCTTACATTTAGCAACAATTTGATATAAATATATTTATCTTCCAGATTTTTTTGTAATAAACACAGAGGCTAGTAGTAGACAGTTACAATGAGAAAATCTTTTACCAAAACAACTGACCTTACACAACCGAATTAAAAAAGCAAAAATTAGAGTTAAAACTTATACAAAAATTTACAATTTTAATTACAACCTCTTTATTTTATAGGGAATTTAAATGAATATAACATATAAATATTTACACATTGAGCGAAATAACAAAACTAAAAACGAACACGTTAATTAATGACACATTATCTAATGTTATTTGATGCACCGTTAAATATTTTTTAAATTTTATTATTAATTATCCAATATTTCATACTATTTTAATTGGCAGAAAAATAATGATTTTTATTGTAGTCTTTTAAATTTTATTCAGCCTCAGAGATCTTGGTGGAAAATAATCAGAATTCATTCACAATTTATTTTTCATCACAGGCTTCTAAGATATACTGGCAAACCTTATTTTTTATCACCAGTACCATCTGCTATACTAATTTACTCTTACATTTAGCAACAATTTGATATAAATATATTTATCTTCTAGATTCTTTGTAATAAACACAGAGGCTAGTAGTTGACAGCTACAATGAGAAAATCTTTTACCAAAACAACTGACCTTACATAAACAAATTAAAAAAGCAAAAATTAGAGTTAAAATTATACAAAAATTTTCAATTTTATTACTATCTTTTTATTTTATGGGGAATTTTAATGAATAAGAAAGTATAAAAATTATAAATAAAACATAACTCTACATTAAGCAAAATAACAAAACTAGAAAGAAGTTAAAGAAATTGATTAATGACATAACATTATCTACTGCTACTTGACTGCTCACATTTTTTATTTTAGATTATTAATCATCCAATATGTCATACTATTTTAACTGCGAAAAAATGATTTGGAAAGCCACTTACCATCATCTTTTCTTGTTTCAAAAGATACTCCTCCATATTAAAATATTAGATTAAAAAGCACATATGAGTTTATATGTAATTTATACATGAAGATACTGAGCTTTGATGAAAAGGCTGTTTGAGTACAGATTGGCTCCTCAAAACCACTGATTAAAGACACTCAGATGATTCAAATTAAATTTAATCTTCTCAAACATCACTTTCATCAAAAACACTACAAATAATTATCATAAGAATGGTAAAAAAAAAACTTATATACTACAGATTAAGTATTATCATGAAAAAAAGAAACATGCAAATTTCATGATGGCAACTTAGGCAAATGAAAAAAAAATTTTTGGTTAGCCTTTATTTTAGGATGCCCCTTGGATTATCGCCAAGTTGTTTTCTTTATGTTAACATAAGTAGTTGAATGATATGGAAACCCTATTCTGACGTGATTGGTTGCGTGATTACAGTGAATTTGATGGGAAAATATTTGCTGGATGTCAAGAAATACGGTGCATATTGTGTGCTTAGCATCGTAAAATGACTGCCAGTGGTACACTGGGTGTTTGGTAGTACAGAAAAATAGTGGAAGTTATGTGGTTGAGGACAGAAGAAAAGGAACTTTGTCAGACATAATTGAACGGAATTGTAAGTGTCCAGTTTGTACGAAGGAAATGCGTTTGGTCAGACGTAAAGATCGTTCAGATGGCTTTAAATGGGTTTATTGCGAGAAAGGTTCAAATGCTCACCATATAGTGTTCCATTAGAAAGGGAACATGGTTTGAAGAAAGCTTTTGGATGCTGTTATGGAATTCTGTGTGCCACAGATATGATAAGATTCATTTCTTTTTTTATGTTATTTCAATGTTTGATTTAAAATTTAGTTTGTTGAGATTACATATTCTTGTTTGACTCTAATGTAGAATTGTGTCATGTTTTGATTTTTAAGTCAAAATAGATTGATGTGAACATGCAGAGTTTTTGCAATTGTTTGATTTTTTTTTTTTTTTTTTTTTTAAGTGAAAATAGACTGATGTGAACATGGACACGGAGTTTGTGCAATTCTTTAACTTGTTATTTTGGTTTTCTATTGTGGCCACCTTGAAGTTGTGCTTTGCTTGCCAATCGCCAAAAATCTCTAATTTTTGCAGAGGCACCCTTAAATATATTTTTACCAAAATTTTAAAATAACCTTTATGTACACTCTCCTAAAAAAAAATACCAACTAAAACCACGATCAAGAAGTAAAATCTAATGTACATTTTTTTTAAATTCTGAACAAGAATTATTTCTTAAATGAATATGTACATTTTACTGCATTTTTCAACCCTATACTTGTTTTACGTCATCAGTTTTTGTGTCCTGCTCTTATCTGTTTAAAAAAATTTTCTGGTTTAAGTGCTCTTGTACAAGGATAGTTTGGAAGAAAGAATGCACCGGTTTATTTTCTTTAAGCACAATTATTATTTATTAATAATTAGCACCCTTATTTACCTTAAGCACAATTAAACTGGAATGAGAATATTAAAATTTATTAATTACAGCAATATATATTCAGATTATATGTTGAGTGAAAGGATATCTCTGTCAAAAGCCTCTGTGACAGAAAAGTGATTTTTATTCGAGGTAAGATATCCATTGAATATAGCTGACTGCAAACAGCATTCGTAATCAGCTGCTGTTGAAAATTATTTACCTGCTACTGTATCAGTTTTTCAATCCTTAGAACCTCAAAATATTCATGGAATGTTACTTAAGCTTAGTTGCACAATGCCCTTCATTCATCTAGAACACTTTTTACTACAGACCAATAGTTTAACAAGTAATACCCAGTGCAAAAATTTAAAACACAGGTTTTCTTTTAGTTTTTCAATCAGTTTTATGGAATATCAGTTAAATTCTGTTTTGAATTTAAACTGAAATGAAAAACAAGGTCATATCTGAAAACTAAATTGAAAAGATCTGATTAATATCAAAAAATTTTACTTACATCGTGGCTCATAGTCAAAAGCTTTAAATCAATGAACTTCTTTTCAATATAGCTTGATTTTCGAATTTGTGGTTCTCATTCCAAACTTCACTATATTTCATAAAAAATAACATTTATTAAATTTAAGAAATGCAATGTTTCAGCTTAAAATACGAGTGTACACAAGTATAAATTATTGTTTACTTTCTAATAAAATATACAGTGAAATCCAAGACAACCACCCATGGTTGCAGAAGATTTTGATATGCAAAGTCATCTAACAGAAGATACCTACCTACCAATGATCATAATAACTGCATAATAGATTACTCTATTTAAAACCTGCGTAGTCTGGAAGAGTACTAATGCAGAGCTGGTAGCATATCAGCTCATTTATGATATTTCAAAACTTTAGTCACATTTCCAATAATGATTTACAATTTTATTTGCTGTGATTTAATAAGCTTACTCTTTTGTCTTATTACAATTTAAGAGTAATTTCAGACTTTTATTTTGTGACTCATATTTTTGGACAGAATTTCATTCAATTATTGCAGGTCTCTACAATAAGGTGGGCAAAAGCCTACCCCATGCCAAATGCATCTTTTTTAATTGCTTAATTTAGTCTGTTATGAAATCACATGCAATAACATTTTCATCTCTTTCCCTGCTGCATTTTGTGACTCATATTTTTGGACAGAATTTCATTCAATTATTGCAGGTCTCTACAATAAGGTGGGCCCATGCCAAATGCATCCCTTTTAATTGCTTAATTTAGTCTGTTATGAAATCACATGCAATAACATTTTCATCTCTTTCCCTGCCGCATTTGCATGCAAATTACCAAAATCAGCAGCACAACTGTGCATCTATTATTACTACAAGAATGATTATGCTAGAGGTCAATCTAAGCTTAAAGCATGTACATCCTCTCAAGAATCAAGTTCTTTCATTTTCAACAGCTTTAAACATTAAACAATGAAATATGAATATTGTTGAGATAAAAAGACTGATCAGAAAAGGGGAACATCTCAAACCTAAATTTTGGCGCAGTATAAATTTGATGACTCAGATTTTACTCCCAATTTTGACGTATTTGAAGACACAACAAACTGGTAGTAACCCAACAAGTCTTTTTTTTTTTAAGAAAAGCAATAAAAAAATAACCTCCTACCTGAAAAATGGAAATCAACTGTCATGCAGAATTCTGTTCAACAAGCTTCATCATACACCCGAGAAAACTTCGGAAGAAATTGAGCATAGGACGCCGTTTTAAATTGTATTTTTTTTAACTCTATGAAATCTACTTTTATGGATGAGGTTCCCCTTCTATCATGATCTAGGGAACAAGAGACACCACATAACATCATATACACATACCATTTCACCTTACGCCGACTCTGCCCACGACTTTATCGGGCAGCGCTTAAAGCATTTGCCCATAACTGCTTTATAACATGTTTTTTTCTTCTTCTAATTTGATTTTATCTCTAGAAAAACTTGCATCATCATTTTCGCAAATTTAATGCTTACTTAATCTACAACTTACTTTGCCTTCTTAATACATCAGTTATTCTTACAACCATTTCCTTTTCTAAATTAGTTTGAATGTTGATTTATTTTAAGGAGTAAATCAAAAAGTAATCAATCATTTTAATACAAATCATCTGTCTCATTTTTCTATTAATTTCTTCACCACAACCCTTATGTCTACAAATTTACATACACAAACATAAATCAATAACAAATGAAAGTTGATGACTGAAACAGCATAAAATCTTTATCCTATACAGTACAAAGTCCGAAATCAGGACTCGTTGGGACTTCGGCAATTCTGGATTTGGGATTTTTCCCGATATTAGATCAGTTTAAATCTAGTGAGATGGCATGTAGAAATTATAAAATTTTAAAAATGAAATAAAGCATTTATAATCTAACGGGTATCAAAATTTACAAAACAAGAAGCTTAATATTTATTTGTTTACTTTAGTAAACATTTCTTTCAATATATGTACAAGTTGTTTTGTTTTTTTGTGCTAATACTTTCTCTTTAATTCGTAGACAGACATAATCTCCCTTTTAGTCACATTGTTGAAGTCCTGTAACTGCTGTGTCGTGAATTCCGATTAACTTTGTAGGGTTTATATTTATTTTAACTAACATTTATTTTAAGTTTAAACTATCTTTCCTGTCAAGCCTTACTTTTCCCTGGAACTGCCAATGCCAGAATATGTAAATTTGAGTAGAACGCACAAGGATTCAAATTATCAGCGGAAGTATTCTGATTTAAATAGAAGGAAAACGAGTTCGGTGTGATATTCTTACTTAGCGAGCGCGGAGGTAGTTAGCGAGAATTGAAGAACCCCGCGTTGCGGCCTATGTGCTTGGCGGGAAGTAGTGGTAATCGTTCCAGTGAGCTTCAAAGTCTGCTGAATTAGCAGCGGTATTGTAAAAACGGTGGTGAGTTAGTTATTTTAGAGAGCCTCGTAATTAGAATCTTGTCTTTACTTTCTTTTCAGGTTATTATTTTTATTTGACTGCCAAGTTGGCACAGTCTGTAAGCGTCAAGAGGACGCAATTGTAATTTATTACGTTGAATAAAAAGGGACTTAAACCCTTCACAAGGCTCTATCTTTTATACAAGTTTTCACAGTCACCTCTTGGTTGCGTGCAAGTTGGAGGCGCGCAACGCTATAACTTGTCAATCGAAAATTTTTCGTTTTCAGTAACTTCTGTCACTATTTTCACTATAGATGGCAGAAGTTTCTGGATCTAGAATTATACTACAGATTTCACCATTCAATAATTGATTGATGATTGAGAAGCATTACCATCACCATGAAAAACTTTTATATCATCTTCATTCATTACTGCTTCTCCACATTTCTTTACAAAATTGGTCAATTGGAAAATTTCACCTTTGTTTTGCAATATCCGAAAACCTTTAAAATTCGCAGCTATCATCATCAAATTAACAAGCTGTTCCATTAAATTTTATCTTCCTTCTTTCGTGCACTGAGACAATTAAGCTTGAATTGTATTAGTTTAATTAACGCCTGTTGCAGTCTTTGTGATTCCTAAATTCTACGACCCGGTGCCGCCTTACGAGCTCTGGTGCTGGTTCTGGGTTTATGTGAATAACAAATCAGTTATTCTTAGTTAAAATAGCCCTAAATGTAATCTTTGTGTCTATGAGTATCATCAATAAAATCTATTTTTACAGGGTTCGTAGCCACAGTTTAGTTAAAAAAATAAGCACCTATAAGCACTTTTCAAGCACATTTTAAGGAAAAAATAAGCACCTGTCTAATTACATTATATACAACTGCATAACCCTAAAAGAAAAATTAGACTTGTAATTTAAAATATGAGCAATGCAATATTTATTAAGAGAATGAGCATTGAAATTTCAGTTCAAAATATAGAAAATAAATAATAAGCCATATTAATTGTATTTGTTCGGCACCTAACAATAAATACAATTTATTTTCCCACTTATATTAATATTTAAATTTAACTTAAATTAAATTCTGAACATTTTATAAATTTTCATTGCATAACAGTTTTCCCTTAACATATATTCCAAGCAAAGTAAATTAAGTAAAAAAGAGACACATTTCTGAAATCAGAAGACGGGAAATTGCTTCATGCAGTCATCCTTTAACAGTAAAAGCTTAACTAAGCCACATATTCGGAAATTGCCGAATATTCCGGATAGTAACTGGAAAAAGAGGAGTGGGGGAGATTGTAGCCGTTCTTTAGATTTCTCGGCTAAATAATTGATTTTGACATTTCGATATGTGCATCATATAGAAATAGACCAACAGAACTGAAGAAATATTCTGCTTAGAAAGCACAGTAAAACTCTTTTAAGGTGTTCATAAACAAATATCTCGGACTGAACATCAAAATTAATTATCTTCGCAAAATACCGCAAAAGTTATTGCGCAATATGTTATTGCGATAGTGCAATACGTTATTGCGCAATACGTGCGGCGTAATTCTTCCACATGTGTATTACGCAATCGGAATCAACAGCTACCGGTATTCGGAAGAATAAAGAAGTAAATAAAAGAAAAGAAAGAGACTTACCTAATCTGGGGTGTTTCTGATTCTAATTTTCATCAGACTGCGTTAAATTTCCGGAATAGAATCAATCTTCGCTTAGGCTGGGTAGACCGCAAAAACTTTTAGACCTATTCAATCCAGATTGGGCAGTGACGACAAAAAAAAAAAAAAAAAAGACCACTGTTTCAATATTAGAGATTTTGCGGAGAATGGGGAGAAACTCCCAACCTCCGTACTGTATAATGTATTGGGGGGGAAAAAACTATTTTGACTATTCGATTACTTTCCTTTTATCTAAGCCATTCCGAATATTATTCCTTAGAAAGCTAATCTGTGTAAAAACACACCCATTTTTGGAAGTTTATCTATACTTCAGCAGTTACTGCAACTATATTATAAATATTCATTCATACGCTCATAATAACCACGAATATGAACTGACCACGCGGAGCACGCACCATAGGTTACGTTAATGCAGAGAAAGGGGGGGAAGCAATTTCCGGGAGTATAATTCACCATCTGACGTTGCATATAAGGAAGAAAAGTTGTTTATTTAGTTTCGGCTCTGGTACGGGAAAAGATGCGCGTTCATTAAAAAAAAGCACTAAAAATAAAAAAATAAGGGCTTTAAAGAAAAAGAAAGCACCTATAAAGGCCTTTTTTTTTATTTTCAAATATAAGGACTATAAGCACTTGTAAGGACCGCTACGAACCCTGTTTTAGTATATGGAAAAGTTTTTGTTAAATTTTTCCTCGTCAACATTTTTTAGGGCATTTAACTTAAATCTGTAATCATCGGCAAGCATGTCAACATAAAAGGTTACTACACTCCTTTGTTGTTATTCAATTACTAACATAAAAAAATTGTTTAGGCATCGCTACATTACTCAAGTTGTCATGTGTTGATAAACATGCAGTGATGAAAGGAAAGTATAATAAATAATGATTTGCTAGGTTGATGTCAGATCAACCATGTATCTATGTGGAATGTTTCAGTTTGAGATGTGTGCCAAATAGATACGCAGCAACAGAGCCAAATTACT